TTTTAGGAAGTCAAATTTTAATGGCTAGGACGGACCCATCTTGCAGTGAGCAACGGTCCATTAATTGATTGGCATTGGACAAAAATCACGCCCGACACAGCATAAATAATGTTAAATCAATCTAAATACATGATAATTTTAGCAAACACTACCTTGTAATTGAGAATATCCTCCTTCATCCAAGCGTTCAGTCAAAAATTAAGTCAAACAATCGATTCGAGAGGCCAATACACGAATAAGCAGCAACAAGAGACAAATGAGAATTTTGATTATTAGATTTTTGGTTTTTAAGTACTAATTTTTTTAATATTTTTTAAGTTATTGGGTTGGGTGGGTTATGTATTAATGGATAACCCGTAGTCCGACCCAACCCGATCTATAATTTGATTTCCTAACTCGAACATAATCCAATTGAACTAAAAAATTAACACAAATCGGTGGGATTGGGTCGGATCGATCGGTTTGACTGGTTAGAATTCGTTTCGCCCAACCCTAACTGTGCGCTTTTGATGTTTGGGCTTTTTTTGGGTGAGAAACTTGCATGGGATAGTTTCGACAACTGATATTGTTGAGACATGTTTATTACTTCATTTGAATATATTTTGAGTCTAGCTATTATTATTATTTTAATTTTATCAATTTTTTTTTCAATACATGGAATTGGTAAATTAAACGGGTGAAACAAATTAAAGAATAAGCAAATAATTTAGAGGTCATAAAATTTTCTCTTTTAGTTCTATATAATATTTCATAATTTGTTGTACACGAAAATTACATATGCGGTTACTTGTAAACCTAGTTCTACAAATTATTGGACTTGTAATTAAAATCTCAAGAAGTTCGCTAAGTTCATAACAAGTTCTTTTAAAGCATGGTTCATAAGTCGTTGCTTTTTGAGCATAGAGACCCCCCTACCATTTATTATGTAACATTTCGTTGTCTCGTACTATGCACGAGTCTTGATCGAATTCTTACAACGCTAATTGTAAGACTAACTTTTGACTTGTAGGATGCTAATCCTTAACTCACCAAACAAAGTAGAATTTGACAAATTACCCTCTTACATTAAATTGTATTAATTTAATTGATTACAAATTTTGAAAATTTATTGGAATAAGACACTACACTTTTTATATTTATTTGCACTAATATCTTTCAGTAATTATATAGGTATATAGGGCACTACCAAAAAAATAAAAATAAAAATAAAAAAGCATGTTGATTAAAATAATTATTGGCCAACGTTCTCTCTTCTTTATTTTTATTTTTATTTTTTTATTGTGTTGATCATACAACCTAAACTACTTGCCCTGTAAGTTTTGACGAATGCTCAATATAGAACAATTAACTTAGGTGACAATTTGTTAAGACAATGGCAACTCATTTATAGGTGTTATCATGTTTGGTTTAATTAAAAAAAAAGTCAAAATTAATAATTAATTTTAATCATACATTTTAAGGTATTCATAACTTTATCAACTTTTTAATAATGTATTTTATTAAAATTTATTAAAAATCTGAATTTTATCTAAATCAAAACATAAATAAACCCCAGTTTGACAACATTTATTTCAAAATTCTTTATTTCTTATACTCATTTTCAATCATATATTCATACAATAAAATATATTGCACATAAATTCAAAACTTTTTTATACTTTTTAAATACACACATTCTCCAAAAAAATCACTATTGAAAATATATTTTTTTTTTCCCTAATTTCTCTTTAGCACCTGTTTGATATACTTATTTCAGAACTCTCTTTTTACGTACTCATTTTAACCACAAATTCACACGATAAATAATTAAAAAAAATTCTAATTTTTAACTTTTTTAAAAAAAAAATTCACTATTCGAAACAATATTTTTCACTGGGATAATTAGAAGAAATGGTCCCCAACGTTTACACTCTTTGCTAAAATGGTCCCTATCGTTTTAAAATTGTCATTGGTGCCTTTATTTCAAACGTTTCTAGCGGAATTGGTCCTTCTATCCATAAACTGTTAAACATCCGTTAGAACATTTTGGTAATTTGCAGAAATGGTTTATATGGAATATAATTTAATATAATTTTGGAACGATCTGCTTCGACGAGTGATAACTTTGGCTACAGTTGACCGTTAGACACGCCGTTAGGGATGGAAGAAACTAGGTCATGAGCACTTTGAAATGGTATTAAAAATATAATATTTCGACTTCGTTTGACTTCCCGTAATAATTCCGCAAAATGGAGACAAAAAATAAGAAAAATCATTTATATATTTTGAAAATATTATTACGGTAAGTCAAACGAAATTGAAATATTACATTTTTAATACCATTTCGAAGTACTCATGACCTAATTTCTTCCATCCCTAACGGCGTGCGAAACGGCCAACCGTAGCAAAAGTTACCACTCGTCGAAGCGGGCCGTTCCAAAATATATAAACCTTTTTTCTTATTTTTTGTCTCCATTTTGCGAGATTATTACGGGAAGTCAAACGAAGTCGAAATATTACATTTTTAATACCATTTCGAAATGCTCATGATCTAGTTTCTTCCATTTCTAACGGCGTGCAAAACGGCCAACCGTATCGAAAGTCACCACTCGTCGAAGAGGCCGTTCCAAAATATATAAACGATTTTTTTTTTATTTTTTATTTTTGTCTCCATTTTAAGGGATTATTACGGGAAGTCAAACGAAGTTGAAATATTACATTTTTAATACCATTTAGAAGTGCTCATGGCCTAGTTTCTCACATCCCTAACGACGTTCGAAACGGCCAATCGTAGCGAAAGTTATCACTCGTCGAAGCAGACCGTTCCAAAATTATATTAAATTATATTCCATATGGACCATTTCTGCAAATTACCAAAATGTTCTAACGGTTTTTTAACGGTTTATGGATGAAAGGACCAATTTCACAATAAACGTTTAAAATAAGGGTACAAATGTCAAGTTTAAAACGATAGGGACTATTTTAATAAAGAGTGTAAACGTTGGGGACTATTTCTGCTAATTACCCTTTTCACTGATATCGATGGTGGGCTTGTAATGTCGTGCATTCCATCAAAGGGAACGCAAGTGTCACGTCACCGGTCACCTCTTTAGTTCATGAACGACATATACACGTGGCACTAGAAGTTTTTTCAAACTTGGGCACGTTTTATCCACGCGCTTTGTTATTGGCTTGATGAGCTGTAAAATCCCGACAAAGTGCATAATCCACCTTATAGCAACGAATTATAATCGAAAACTTAGGAGCTGTTTGGTAGGAATTTTCAAATTCTACAGTAAATCAATTCTCATTTTTAACCACACATCCTTCAAAATCATTATTTTCCACACATTTTTCAATAAAATAATATTTTTCATCATATCAAATTTTTTTCTTCTTTTTCAACCACACATTTCCCATCATATCACTATTCAAAAATCAATTCTTCCCCCAAAAATTCCTCACAAACAAGCTATTACTCAAGGACGTCCCGTGTTCATCCTCTTTTAATTTTTTAAAAATCCATCCACATAATAATTTAGAAAATAATTATAATTTTTTTTTTTCATATCAAAAAAAAAAAAATTCAAATGACCTAATGAGTGTATAAAAAAATTATATGAAAATTTACTTTTAAAAAAAAATTTAATTGATAAATCAATTGATTTTTCACCTAAAAACCAGGTAAATGAAAGAATTTGCAACTTTTTTGATTTCATTGGAATAATGGAATCCACATTGTTCAATCTAACAATCTAGTCTAGTCTATTTATAATATTTGCTTAGGTTACAAAAATAAGAGGTTCGAATTTTAATATTAGCTAAGAAAACCTTTTGTTACTCGTATTTATTAGGTCGATATATCCCAAACAAACTTAAGGCAATGAGAAACTCAAACATATGCTTCACGTGTTTGGGTTTGAAGAAACAATACGTTTCACAATATCACTCGTTGACATGGTACAACATTGCTAAAGTGTTAATTTAAAGTAGCAACTTTAGTGTTTATTGTTCAATGGTGCGTTTGTGTTGAGAGAGAGCTCATTTGGGACGTTGTTTCAATTTGAATATCCATGGGGTTGCAGTGTGTGGTATAAAATCCAGTTTGTTGCCCTAGTTTCTTCACGTTGTTCAGTTTTTGTTTCTTTCTAAATCATTTGCATATTTTTTATTTTTCTCGATGGTGGTGCCTTTGTTGTGTGTTTTCTACTATTTCTCTTTTGAGGATTCTCTTGTTGTTCATTCTTTGTGAGTGAAAACATTTAGGTCCTGTTTGGGAGGGATTTTCAAAATTCTACAGTAAATTAATTCTCATTTTCAACTACACATTCTTCAATAAAATAATATTTTCCATCACATCAATAATTTTTTCTTCTTTTTCAACCACACATTTCCCATCATATCACTATTCAAAAATCAATTTTTCCCCCAAAAATT